GAGGTCTAAGCAGTTGCTTTTGGTTTGCACTGATGCAAACTGAGAATCACTTGCGCCCCCCCCCCCCAATCAGACATTTACAATCATGCACAGGCAGTTTGATGTGTGAAGTCAGTTGGATTCTTCTCAAAAGCAAATATTGAGGGAATTAGCAGCCACATAAGCTGCTATTTACCCTTCGGGTAATGAATCATAGCAGATAACTGCACAACACGCTGGCATCCTTGTCTCAGAGGAGCAATGTCCTGTAACAGGTCAGGCTTGCCCTGGGCTGAGTGGCCATTGCGCCATTGAGCTCCAGGAAATTTGTGGCCCAGCTAAGCTCAGCTCTGTGCCCAGCGGCATCAAATGCCCTGCCAGCTTGTCCCCATCAACTTTCGAAATACTTTCCAAACCTGGTTGCTCAATATCTTGCAAGGAAGATAGACAAGTAATTTTCTGTTATTGCTGCATTATTACTGCTGTCTGACGTGGTATTCACTCGCCCTGGCTTAGTAGCATTGTCAGGGTCTGAAGTGGTGTCTTCTTACTTTTTTGTTTGCAAGTTAACCTACAAAGACAAACCAGTGTGGGTCATGCCCTGCACAGCTTCATCAGTAAACAGGAGGAAGGCTTGATGAAAAGAGACTCATCTTTTGAATGAAACTTTTTCAACTTGATGTATCATTTGCCTTGAATTTGCTGGATTTTTTCTGAAGGACTGATAACAGCAAGTGATTTGCTTACCTGAAAGTGAAAGATTGTCATCTTTAGGAGAAAGCATGTTGTTTCTGCTCTGTCTTGAACTTCGAATTCTACTTTTGCTATTATAAACTTACTAAGTAGGTGAAAAGAGCCTGTGATGGCAGATTCGATTCTGTTTTCAAAGTTTAAGGTGAGTTTTCTTCTGTATTTGCTGATGTACTGTCAACAATGCAAACCAGAGAAGGAAACAACATCTGTCCTTGGTGAGCTGTGCCTACCCCACAGGCTGTGCCCAGTGCAGGAGGTGACTGTTGTTGCCTGCATGGTTTAATCTCATCAGAAATAACCACCAGAATCAATAAATCTTAAGAAAAAGTAAATTAACCTTCTTTTGCCAAAGCCAGCAGCCAGTACACTGCTGGAGGCACTTGCAATCTGAGAGCTGTGATTCACATTACACTCCAGAGTGGTTTCTCTCCCCTCTTCTAATGAAAGTCAGGGAGTAAAAGGATACTCGGCCTCTGACACGACGAACAACTTTTCAGCTGTGCCTAGTGAAGTGTTTGCCTTCTTGCTCTCAGTATTTGGAAAACCAGGAAGGCATCTCTTTTGTTAAACGGACGCATGTTCTCCTAAGAAAGCTGTGCCTCTACGCGTTAACCAGCTGCCCCCACCCAGAGCAGCTGCCCCTGTGAGAGCCGCTGCAGGGCAGTGCCCAGCTCCCCGCAGGGCCTGGGGCTGGTGCGGGGGCAAGCACGAGATGAAGATGAGATCCAGAAAAAAACATTGTGAACAATCCAGTATGAAGGAGCTGGAGGAGGTGAGAGGTGCAGGGTCACGAGCCAGGTGGAAAAAAACCTGAGGTCAGTGTGCTGAGCTTTTCTAGATATGAAGAACAAATTAAGCCAAGCAAATATGACAGCATTTCTGTGGGCAAGTTACAAGACTGGTAAGCATCAGGATGGGAAGGGTATCTGCAGCAGGGAGAGAGAAGCCAGCCCTGTGCCAGGGCTGTAGTGGCTCCCAGGGGGCAGCTGTGCCCGGGGCCGGGTCCAGCCCAGGAGATGGGGGCACTGGCACACCCCCAGGCACTGAGGTAGGACATCACCCATGCCAACCTCATCTCCAGGGCTTGCTGCAGACGGGCCAACACCGAGTGTTTGGCTGGTGCAAAGCAGCCATGCCATGGTGTGGGTTCATGTGAGGGCTTTCCATGGGTGAAGCACACACTGGTATTTTGTGCCATGTGGTCCAGCGTGGTGGGCATCTCCCCAGTGCTGAGGCACGGGAGCTGTTATGGCACCTGCGACTGGTGTTATCTGGCCCTTCAGGTTGCACAGAAATACTGTCACAGGGATTAAATGCAGGACAGGGGACACTGTGACACCCCACACCCCCCACCCCCACCCCCCCGGGAGGGCAGGGTCTCACTGAACTGGCTCCATTCAGTGCAGATGGAGAAGAGGAGAAAGGATGGCACAGGCGTAAGTGACTTGTCATTTGCATGTGATCCTGGGTGGGAAAATGTTGCAAACCCCACTGAGGACAGAAAAATAATACAAAGGGACCTACAGAGAAGCAAGAAATACGAGCAGGAAACAATAAAATGAGATTCAGCTTGGAAAAATACAAGGGAATACATGTGGGGAATAATATTTAGTAACAACTTCAGTGGGAGGAAAAGAAAGGGAAAGCAGAAAAATCTGGAGAGGAAAGAAGAGCCCAGCAAGACCAAAAGCGAAGAGCAAATCAGATATTTTGAAAGGGAGGTGCTGAGGTTAATGTGCTGAGCTGAGACCCAAACCCCAGCTTGCTCTCTTGGGGCTGCTTAAGGGCCACATTTAAGCAACGGCCTCTAATTGCACCAAGCTTCACTTTCCGCTAATAAACGTGGCCATGGTTGGTAACAGCTGTACAGGGGCACACAAACCTTGTGCTAATGGGGAGAAACGGGCTTTGTCCTCTGCTCATGCTCAGATAATAGGTAAGACATTTCCAAGCAGTTCTCCGTGTGTGTTGTGAGGGGTCCGTGTTGCTGGTGGTGGTTTTGTGCTGTCCCCTGCACGGCTCAGTGCTCTGGGCACTGTGGGTCAGCCGGCCCCCGTCCTGCTTTGAGCCAGGGCGGGTGGGTGCAGGCACGGCCTCGGGGCAGGGCTGGCTGAGCCCTTTGGGATTGCCCACAGCTGCTCTGGGGACACCACCCTGCCCACTATCCCCATGCGAGGACACCAGCAGCACGGTGGTGTGCGCTATGGGCAAACCAGTGCCAGCCCAGCATGTGTATGTTTTGCTGGCTTCTCCCCACCATCATTACTGCTTACCACCATGCACATCTCTGGCACAGCACTGAACACTTCAGTGCCTTAAATAGGTAGCAATGTATTCAGAAACAGGCACTGAAAAAGTACACCATACACTTTAAACTACAACTGAGCAAGAACATAAATTTAAGGGGTGTAAACAGCAGGAACAAAGAGGAATTGTTTAGGGCAGACTGGGAAGATGGGACTGGTAATGGGATGAAATTGAGCAAGCAAAAAGGCATACGGCCTCTCAGGGCGGGTTTCCTGAGCCATGCGTCATCCTGCACCGGGCTGCATGACCCACCACGGAGACCCCCATGGGGAGGACTCGGCCAGGGCTGCAGGATGGGTGAAGTGACTGCAGGAGTGTTTCCATCACTTCATACAGCCATATAACGCTAAAAATGTATTTACGGGCCACACAGCAGGTTCAGAAGCATGTCTGTGATTTTTTAATCCTCAGATTTTAGGCTCTTGCATTATAAAGAAAAGGAGAAGACCAGCTCTCCTGTGGAGCAGATGCATGTTCATTATAGCAGGACCCAAGAGCCCATCCCTGGGCTGCCATGGCACAGTACTTCTCAGCAGGACTGCCCCGGGGTTTTCCATATTACACGTGGGACTACTTCTGAGTTGCAACTAAAGAGACCCTGGTCTCAATTAGCACTGTAGCCTATAAGAAGTAAATAAATGCATCTTTCCTAGCCACAGCTCGTGCTTGCTCAGAGTTTATCAGCACCAGTTTCCACACGCCATCCATAGTCACCATGTGCAGCAGGAAAAACCCTACCCTCTTGACCAAGGGAAAAAAAAAAACTGCCAAGGGAAAAAAAAAACAACCCATGTACATTATTGTACATGACATTAAAAAAAAAAAAAAATAAAAAGCTCTAACAGCAACTATTGGCCTCTCCTGCTGTGGAGTGCTCATCACCTCAGCACATCTGCTCTAAGCCGTGGCTGACCCCTTCCTTCCCTGCCAGCTTTCCGCTTCTAGCCCTGCTCCTTCGCCTCCCCCAGCCGCCAGGAAGCCATGGCGTTTTGGGACGTGCTGTGTACAGACTGACCAAGGCTATGTTTTTCCCAGGCTTTTCTTTCCTATTTGAGTCATAAACACACAGATCTGACAAGGCCCAATTTCCCATCTGTGCCCTTGGCGCTGCCCTGCCTGCCTGCCTGGCCTTGCAGCGCAGCATTGGCAGCGCCGGTGCCATCACTGTCAGCAGGAGGGAGCAAACACCAGGAAAGTGAAGCGGGCTCGTCCCAGACTAAGTTATGCCCCTGGCACAATGGGGGGTTTGGGTTTTATTTCACTTACAAGGATGGCGTTTGCTCAAGTGAGAGGGTCCCCATGCAGAGGGAGGTGGGAACAGTACGGGCACTTAAGACAGTTATGCTCTCAAAACATGTAGCTGGTAACTGTGAATCCAAGTTAAACCAAAAATCCTCTGCAAACATCATTTGCTGCAGAGTATTTGGCATTATGTGGAAAGCGGGAGCCTGTTGGGGCCGTGGGCTCTGCCCATCCTCCTCCCAGGGCTGCTCCCCAACCATCCCTGTGGCCACTGGGACATGAGTGGTCCCCAGCTCACCTGATGCTCAGACGTCCTCTCCCTGCCCCTCTTCCCTCCAAACAAGCCCCCTCAGACACACCCCACAGGGACACAGCGTTCAGCCATTAAGTTGTTGTTTTTACTGTTATTCTTTAAAAAACATAGCCCAAAATCCTGCTTTTTGTCTGGGTCTGGAGAAGCATTAACTGAAGAAAAAAACTGTAACAAAGCAAACAAAACCAAAGTCACACCATAAAGTATTTATTAAGAAACAAAGGGGGCTTTTTTCTTCATTTGTAAGAAACACTTTAAAGCAAGTGCCCTTTCAGATTTATAAGCTATATCAAATAGTAACATTGGTTTTACATTATTGTACATGACATTAAAAAAAAAAAAACAAACAAAAACACCACATCTCACAAACTTCCTTTTATTACAACTCAGGTTTCTCTGCCTTCAGTTGTAAATTAATTTCTACAGACTTAAATTTAACTTATTCTTTTTTTTTTCTTTTTTTTTTTTTTTCCAAACAAGTAAACAATATACAAAGAGATTCACCTGAATTCATAGGTCAGAGGAGGTGTCCTTGCCAGGGCATGTGCAAGGCAGACAGTGCGTGCTGGCGGGGGGGATGGGGAGAGCTGATGGTTCACAGTTGGGAAAGCTCGTGGCTGCGTGGCTGGGTTTGCTGTCTGGCCACGCAGTAACAGGCTGGGCCTCACCTGGGGCCAAGCACCTCCAGCTCCTGCCAAAGCCACCAGCAGCTGGAGGCATCCAAGCCCCCGTGCCTGATGCCAGCTCACATTTGGAAGGTCAGCATAACCAAGCTGCAATGTGGGCAGGTAGAAACCTAAATCCCCACAAGACCCGAGTGCAGCTTGGGTCCTTCAAAACCCTGGCAGCACCCAGCTCTGGCACACCTACAGCCTTTGAATCCCCCGAGCACTGGGCAGGGCAGAGCAGCATCCCAGATGCTGCCTTGCCGGAGCCGCCCAGCTGGCAGGAGGGGAAGCCAGGTCTCCTAAGCCAAGCTTTCTGTCCAGGTCCTACATGCTAAATGGGCGATCGCAGCCAGGAACAGCAGATCTGGGATAAATTACTTATTCATTTTCCTGTGTCAGTGGTCAAATAATTTCTGCCCGCTGCAGACTGCCCGTGTGTGGCATGTTCACGAGTAAACCATTGGATTTGGCAATGCTTCTAAACGGATGTGTAATTTAAAAACAGACATACAAAAAAATAGTAGTATCACAGTTATTGCTACATACTGATACAGTATCAGACAAGAAGAAACCTTTCATCAGCTCTGGTTTGGTTACAGTAATTGCCCGGTTTTGGTTCATGCCCTCAGTTGTGGTGCTTTGGCTGAAGAACAAATGGATGGCAATGCAGACTCTAATTTTTTTTTAAACTTAAATAGTTTGTTGCATCCAGGGTGATGATATATTACAAACATCACAGTCTGATTATTCCTAGCACACTGCTGCCTCTTCAACCTGGAGTTTCTCCCCAGATGAAGCAAAGCAAGACGGAGCCAGCAGCTCCAGTGCAAAGTGTCTGTCCCCCAGCATCACACCACCTCCCTGACCCCCATGGCACCATGGGGAGCCACAAGCACCTTCATCCTTTGGTTGGGCATTTTTCCTTATTTTTAAATACAGCTGTGCCTTCCTAGTCCCCTGCCCCACAGCTAAGGAAGAAAAAGGGATGGGTGCCAAACCTCCACCAGCCCCCAACATCCAGGTTGGGGTGGCTTTGTGTGACATCCCCTACCACAGAGGAGGGCTGGGGACTCACCGTGGGCTGGCGGGGGGACAAAGCCCTTTTTCCTATGGTCAGACTCAATCACAAGCAGGGTCTGGGGCTGACAGCTTCACGCACATTCTCATGAGTTTACTGTTTCATAGGAAGTGAGGTTAAATCAGGTGTGTTTGGAGTCACAGTACGAAGTACGACCTTTCTTTGCAAAGGCAGTTCCAGCTCAGATGCTGCTAGCTGTACCAAAAGCTTTGCTGAGCATCAGGAAGAGCAAGCACCTCATACCCTGTTTTTAGTAAAAAGTTCACAAAGATAAAGTTTGTGCAAGCCACTACTGGGTCCTGATCTTGAGGCAAAACCAAATCAAGAAGGGTTTCAAGTGCACTGGAAGGAAGAGCCAAATAATTCATACTCTTCTAATTCCTATATAAATACCAGGGACAAGGAAAATCAGTCTTTACAAGACTAAGCCTCTTGTGGTATTTCACCCCAAACCGGGGGTGCGTAAGAAACCATGGGGGCTGGTACCAGCACGCAGCGATTGCACTGTTCGGCGCTCAGTTGTGATTGTCTGTAAAGCAACGGGAAATGTCATTAAGGAGCTGGGAGAAGAGAGAAGAGGTTTCTTAAGTACTGTGGTCTTGTACAGTGTAACAAAAACCTTTCTACAAATTAATTAGGCAAATACTTCTGACCATGTCATACCTGAAGGGCACTTAATGGCTCTGGCATTTATCTTGCAAGCACAGCGATCAGAAATACATATGCATTTTCAGCATAATCCTTCACCGCTGTAAATCATGCACTGGAATGAGAGTGTATCTGGCAACGTTAATTCAGAGATATCATCCTACAGTTTCTGGCAACGGACTCCGATGAAAATAAATGGTTTATAAACACTGTCTGACATGCACGGGCTTTTCAAAATTATTTACAAGTGATGTTCTGGGAGCTTCGTTCCGAGGAAGTATTTCTCCTCCGTTCAGTTTAGATATTAAAATCTGCTGGGTGTGGAGGGGGAGGAAGGCGTCAGCGCTACACAGTCACAGCTGGGTACATCTTCTGTTCGCTGTTGGTGTGTGGGTAGGGAGACTGGATCTGCCTGTAGCCGCTCTGCAAACCGTCGAGAAAGGGGGGCACCGGTGTCAGCGGCATCGAGTCGTGCTGCACAGCGTAGCCCACATACTGGGGGTGCAGGTACTGGCCCTGGTGCGGCACGATCTGGGTGGCCTGCTGGCAGTTCAGCACCGAGAAGTTCGTCGGCATGTTGACGTAGACGTTATTCATGGTCCCTTCTGGCAAACAGCAGTTGGTCTGGGACCTGGTCGGCGGGGCTCTGGCCCCCGAGTTGGCGCTGGAGCTGGAGCTGGCGGCGGTGCTCGACTGGCGGGAGGAGGAGCCCCGGGAGGTGCTGGCACTTGGGATCATGGGGATCGTCTCCATCAGGCGGGTGCCCCCAGGGGCTCGGCTCTGCTGGGGCTCCTGCTTGGGCCGCAGGCATCTGCAGCAGCAAGCTGCCACCAGGGACCCCAAGATGATGAAGGCAACAAATACAGATCCAACAATAAGGAATGGCACGTAGATGGGCACTGCAACAGTGAGGAAAAGGTTGTCACTGGGGGCCAAGGAGAAACCTCAGCAGTTCCAGCAGGTCCCCCTCACCCCAGCCAAGCCCAGCCCCCCCGCCCCC